TTTGCCATAGATGACATTCTGGAAACAGCTCTGATGAATGTAAGTAATGGTGGTGTGGATCTGTTGCCTGGAGAAAGACTTCTCGACCTTGAGTATGCGGACGATATTGTCTTACTGTGCGATAATGCCCAAGCTATGCAATCCGCACTCAATCAGTTGGCAATCAGTGTCCGTAGGTATGGTATGTGCTTTGCACCTTCGAAGTGCAAAGTACTTCTACAAGACTGGCAGGATTCTAATCTTGTACTCACCCTGGATGGTGAGCAGATAGAAGTAGTCGAGAAGTTCGTGTATCTGGGTAGCTGCATAAGTGCTGGTGGGGGTGTGAGTGATGAGATCAATGCACGAATAGTGAAAGCCAGAGCGGCTTATGCCAATCTGGGCCACCTTTGGCGCCTTCGTGATGTTAGTCTGGCTGTAAAAGGTCGGATCTACAATGCGTCGGTGAGAGCAGTTTTGCTCTATGCTTGTGAAACCTGGCCTCTCCGAGTTGAGGACGTTAGACGACTCTCTGTGTTCGATCATCGCTGTCTCCGAAGGATTGCTGACATTCAGTGGCAACACCATGTCAGTAATGCAGAGGTTCGGCATCGTGTGTTCGGGCACAGAGATGATAACTCAATTGGTGTCACCATCTTGAAACACCGACTTCGGTGGCTTGGACATGTTCTCCGAATGTCGTCCCAGAGAATTCCACGTCGTGCATTATTTGCCGACTCTGGGACTGGTTAGAAGAAGCGGAGAGGTGGTCAGTGCATGACATGGTGTCGTGGCATGAAAGAAAGCTGCAAAGGACTGGCTTCTGTCGGTCCTTCACGACTCCCTGGCTGGGGTCCGAGAGATGGTGCTACACAGTGGCTAGAGACGTTATCAGATATGGCTCAGAATAGAAGCCAGTGGTGATCCTGCTGTAACCTTCTTTTACTTTCTTCATAAAAAGTGGTTCTGTCTCCCTTACCTGAAAGATTTCTTCTGATTGTACCTTTTCGTTCCGTCGTTACTACCACACTACCTTACTCCAATCTCTTCGTCATTGTTCTCTTTTTCTTTTGCGTTCCTTAGTTTTTTTTTCTTCTTTCTACTTCTCTTCGAATTCCCATTGCTTTGTGTGGCGCATATATACTGGCGCTCTATTGTACCAATATTTATGTGTTCAAATAATAATAATAATAATAATAATAATAAACAACGTCGTCAATTCCTTAGTCAAAAAGTCACCACCATCTTTAAAAAGAGCCGGAGGTAAGTCATCTGGGCCAGGTGATTTGTAACGCTTCAAGAGTTGGAGTTCCTTGCGGACTTCCTCCCCGTTTGGTGGATCAGTCGTCACCGGCCATGGAGGGCAGGACAGTCTGACCGATGTTGCCGGAGCAGCAGGCCAGTTGAACTGCCCTTCGAAAAATTCTGCCCATCGTCCAAGACGTCGATGGATGTTAGTGATTGGCATCCCATCATCCTCGCAGATTGTTTCACTCACACCAGACTTCTTGCTGCCAGTGGCTCGGATGAGCTGGAAGAGCTTCCGGCAGTTACCAGATGCAGCTGCTGCTTCCAGCTCATTAGCACGCATCGACCACCAGGCTTCTCGGTCCTTACGCAAGCTTTGCCCAATTTCCTTACGTAACATCCTTCGTTTATGGTCAAACTCACGGTCACCCGGAGTAGATCGACGGGCTTCAATGAGTTGTAAGGAACCAGAAGAAACCCAGTGCTTAAAAGCGGGACGTTTCGCAAACCCACAACTGACTGTACCCGCCATTTTCATAGCGTCATGCAATTGCAACCAATGCTCATCTATACTTTTCGGTGGAGTGGTAGCTAGCCTAGAGGCTAGCTCGGTTCGATACTTACTTGCAACAGAAGTTGCAACCAGCTTGCTAATATCAATCCGTTGATGGCGGTCACTTCGTTGGCCACTGAAAAGTAAGGTAAGATTGGCACAGACCAGGGCATGATCAGAGTCCAGATAGGTACTCCAAAAGGAGCGGCAGTCTTGTACACAACCACGCCAGCGGTACCTGATCGCGATGTGATCAATCTGAGTCCAGGCTTGAGATGCAGAGGGAGGACGCCAGGTGGCACATCGGCGATGACTGTGCCGAAAGTTAGTGCTAGCCAGAAACAGGTTGTGGTCTGTGCACAGTTGCAGTAGACGGTCCCCGTTATCTGACCTGCGACCAACGAGTCCCCATCGGCCACCTAAACGACTCTTCTATGCCTAGAAGCCCGACCTGAGCATTCAAGTCTCCGGCTAGTACTACAATATCTGTCGAACGCACTTTCTGGAGAAGAACTGATAACTGGTGGTAAAACTCATCCTTGATTGCATCCGGGCTGCAATCTGTCGGGGCATAGGCGGAGATGACGAAAAGACATCGTTTCTCACGCCGATTTCTTCTCACTTTGATGGAACTTTCCAATCTAACAGCACATAACCGACTGTTAATGGAAATCCAATCGATTAGTGCTGCCTCAGCTCTAGCGCTTAGTGCGACACCAACGCCAGCAAGATCAGCCGAAGATGCCACAGGGTCCCCGGATAAGCGCACGTAAAACAAGCTTTTCGAAGCGACAGATGGAGATCGAATTTGTAGTACATCGCCAGAGTCTTGAATACGGGTCTCGGATAGACAACAAACATCAATATTAAGACTTTCCAAAGACATGGCCAGCCCTATCTGTTGTCCGACCTGCATAAATGTGTGAACGTTGAAGGCAACCAGTTTGAATGATGCACGTGGTTTCAGAAAAACTGCTTCAGTTCTCGTACTCGGCGGTAACATACAATTTTCAACCGGACAGTGACTCGAGAACGTTTAGATACAGTCGAATTTCCACCAAAGACGAGCCGCTGTATGAGTATAAAAGAGGGTGAATAATGTGGAAAATAATAATAATAATAATAATAATAATAATAATAATAATAATAATAATAATAATAATAATGATAATAATAACAATAATGACAATAATAGTAGTAATAATAATATTAGTATTAATAATGACAATAATTGTAATGTTCATAAGTTGAATCAATTGATTGTTTTTCGAAGTGAGAAAAGTAATTTCCATAGGCATAAAGAGTTCATCATTTGTGTGTGGGCTGTGATACTGCCCGGGTGCCCAAACCGAAGCAGGTGGTTATCTTAGGGGGCCACACCCCGAGCCTTTGACCTAAAGGTCTAACCCACAAGGCAGTGGAGCATCGTAAGGAGATGCAATCCCATGGTAACCGGTGACCAACGATTGGTTCATACGCCATTTGTTCCCGCAGGATACTGGAGCCCATGTGCACCATTGGTTTGTGATCCAAATAAAGCGCCGGACATTCGCTTTTCGTCCTCTCACTTTCGTAAACGACACCCCCGCCACGAGAAGGCAATGAGTAGGACTTCCCTGGCAGAGGCTGTATACGCGCGGCCGTGTGAGAGTATTTCGAGAGGGAGAGCGGACTCTCCCCACTCTCGGCCGTACCAGGGCATTCAGGGGCCGTATATGTGACCTCTATACTCGACGCCCAATTCCTGGCAAACTGTTCGTTCTAATCTTGACCAGTATTCGTATATCAGAATTATTACTTATTTGGTACGTCTTTAATGAAAGTTCAAGAAAAACTAGAGCTTCTATTATTGATAGCCACATAAACACAAATTCTGTTGGCAACTTAATATACTCGATGGTAAACCTATGGTATTCTGAAAGTACATCAAGTTGAGATGAGTGTTATTGTGTCAATCTATTACTAGAGAGAATTTTCCATCAAGAAAATCAATGACAACATTTTATAACAGGGATTCAGATAAGAAAGACTTTGAAAATTTTGACAAAAGTCTATACTTAAGCACTTGAGGTAATCATACAAATTCTGTCTGTAATCATTTTTTATCATTCGTATGTTAATATTGACATGAAGTGAATTAGTAAGCATACTACTTCATGGATGTAGGGCAAGATCGGTCCTAGCTCACGTTGAAATATGACTTTGAGCAGACAACCATTGACTCGGTAAGATGTACAGTATTATTTATGAACACAGTGAACCAAATATTAATGTTATCTGCTGTTTTACGAAAGAATGTTTAAAAAATTGTGAACCACATAGAAAAATCAATTTTTGTTGTCTCAATTTCGAGATAAACTATTGTGGTAAATACTAATGATATATATATGAGAACCTACACACACTCTGATAGTACTATTTGTGTGATTATGGAGTGAATGGTTAAATGTGATCACGCCAAATTGATAACCTTGTATAATAATATAGTTTAGTAATTTGATACGAGATATGCTAGATATATCAAAAGTTGAATGTCATTTGAAGATCAATGAATATACCATTAGCTATATGTGTAATTCATTCATTTAACTGATCAGTAAATATTTACAATCAGTAATATACTGTATATTAGTAATGTCAGGATACATTAAGTAAAGCAAAGTTGTCTCCATGTTAGGTCATTCAAAACTATTCATTATTGTTACTATGTTATGACAGTAGAAACAGAATTTTGTGAACAATAAACGTGACATTTAAATGTAGATTGAAGTAGCTCTTCTAGAGTTAATGCCAGTCTCATGCTCGACTAAAGGAACAGGGTTGGGTATGGGTTAGCTACCTCTAGTGATTTGTGCACAATTTGTGCATAACATACAAATTTTTTCCATTTTCGTAACTATTCAGTAGTGTTGAATATAAGAAGAAATGCAAATATGTACGTTTATATTTATAACCAAATGATGTGCTATAAATTGCATTTGATTTCAGTGAACATTTGTCAATCAACACGAGATTCAAGAAATTATGCAACTATGAAAATGTATTACTGATAGCCAGAACTGATAACATAATTGTATATTACATATTCAACTACATTTACAAATAGCCAATGAATATTAAAAAAGCGGAACAATCGTACCTCCTCAAAACTGGTACATAATTAACTGAGATCAAAACAATTCCCAAAAATGTGTTTTCTACATGTATCTAATTGACTTACTTCAAAAACAGCTTTATGCATCACATCTGATATACACATCCTATCTGAGTCAGAAACATTTGAAAAGTCAGCTGATAAAGGACAGAATGCATCGTTTATCCCCAATTTTCGCAGATGATCTTTCAGTTTTATTGTATAACCTTCTCTTAATCTAAATTTAGGCAAATACAAACGCATTTTTGTATTTTGAAAACTCGTGGAAAGTATTGAAGAAACTCCACCATGTTTATACATTGAATCCAGTAAATCGGGCAATCCGTCACTTGCATCTGGAAGAATGATCAATAACGTAAACCTGGGTAACGAAGTGTTTGAAAAAGAAGGGATACTAAAGTAATATCAAGGAATAATTAGACAAAAACGGATACATTCAATAATCTCAATATAAAAACATGGTGCATTCATACTAGCACACTCAGTTTCACCTACAGTTTTAAAAGTACATCAGATAGTTATCTTTCATAAACTGAACCAACTTTGGTTAAGCTAACATTATTTGGAGTTGTTTCCAGTGGTAGATTTATTAAGTATTCATTCACTGTATTGCAGAGTCAAATATATCTCATTATACATTTTCAGTAATAAAATACTATATATAATCCCTGCATAAAATCTGTACCCTTCATTTTGGTTTAAGAATTTATATTTCAATTGGATCGTACTTAATCTTGACCTTACAGCTCAAAAAACCACTGAAATGTGTGTAAAATAGTTTGTGGTTGAAAGTCGAAACGACGTTAAAACACTTTACTAGTTGAACAGATATGAATAAAAAGTGTTTTGATTAGTGTTTAGAATACCGACATACAAGTATGGCAGCACAATAACATACATTAAAATAAGTACGGCGGTGGTTACAAGTAATAAACAACAAACCCTGGACATAGGTTTCGTGCTATTTGACAGCTGTTAGCAAGGTGTACCTGTATACTTGAGGAAACTGATCACTACTCATTGGTCAATCAATTGTAAATGCATAATAATTATAAATTTAGCCTATTAGTTCGAGCCCTTCACTAAATGAAGAGACGATAAAAGCAGCACACCGTCTAGCAACTAGTAGATTACACGTTCAAACCTCAATTTTAAGTGTTGAATAAATTGATACATATTGTGGAGAACTCAAAATGCCACAATTATGAGTGATTTTCTATCAGTGTTTGTTATTTAGATTACTACTGAAAATTATTACATTAGTTTTCTAAAAAGCACATCACAAAGCAGTAAAATACAAAACAATCCTTTAAATATCATTACTCACTTAGGGTCTTTAAATGGTATCTTCGCAGCACGTGACCTCAAGTGGGGTAAACTGACCATATCGAAATATGATTCGTTATACATCAACTTCACACTCATTTTTGATCCACTCAATTCATAAAACTCGCTAGTATGTGAGTTATCCTCAGGAAAACACATATTCCACAAACCTAAATAACAACACCGGTTAAGATTTTTCAACTGATATCAGGTAGACAAATATAAAGTGGATGCAGTTAAAATGAAATTTATAATTATTCAGTTAGATTCATGTATTCTTTTACCTTTGAAGTATGTGGTAGCCGTCACTACAGCAGACGTGGCCTTTGTTAAAGAACCGGGTGAAAGCAGTTCTTGAATTTGTCCTTTAGTTTGTTCACTAACCCACTGGTTTATCCGGTTTCGAGAACCTTCTATGTCAGTCTCAAATGCCACCTTTGCGCAAAAAATAGTAACGAATAGCAAGAACTTACATGTTCTGTTGGAGCATCGTAGTATGTCTTCAGATTAGTTTTGAACTGTTCCTTGATTCTCACATTTTGTGCAACGAACAATCTATTAGCAAGGATTATATTAACACCTTCACTAGGTTTCGAACAATCATTTAAAAGTTGAGCAATCTCATGATGAACTTGATCATGTTCTAAACAGTCAGACAATTGCATTGCCTTTATCATCTCGGCTTTCGTATTGTTTCCACTGCCTGAAAGAACCATTCCGAGGGCAGTATAGATATTGAACGGCGAGAGAAAAACATTTTCCCATTGACCTAAACACATTCGTAGGAGCATTGTAGCAGAACGAACTCACCATGAGCTTCATTTAATATTTGTTCGTAAAACTTGTCAGTGAAGTTCGTAAGTGACTTTAATGCCTCCATCTTGTAGGAAGTAGAAGTACATCAGAACAATGACTACAATAAAATATTCGCAGTGCAAAACGTCAAAGAAACAGAGCAACAATCTAATATCAAGAACTTCAACCTGAGAGTGCGGTTGGTTAGAATTCCACTAATGCAGCTATCCTCTTACGAGGCTTACAAGTCAGTCAGTACAATATTTAATTTCATATGGTGCCATGGACGATCTTTAGTCAACCGACTATCATTAGAAAAAAACACTGTGAAGAAAGTTGTGTAACATATTAGTAATAATGATTCGCACCACTTTCAAATCAATGGAATGCCTATATACAAAATTATAAATTATAACAGCCCAGATTACCTTAATAAAAAAGCCAACTGTGAAACAGACTCAAGTTTTCCATCTACGTTAGTTACAATGTAAACCTATTCCTGACCCAATTAAAGGCACATTCTACTCGTGATAACCGATTTATATCATAGTAAACCTTTAGAAATAAAGCCAGATTATATGCTAAAAATGAAACGAATACGTTGGAACGAGTTCAAGAGATAGATATTGAGAAAGTAAAATCGCATTGCCACCTTACCAATAGGAAACATACATCCTAATCGTCCACGTTTTATTGAAGTTTCGGTGGTGACCGTATATCACTTTACCGTATATTGAAAGACCATGGCATTACCATGTTTCGTTAAACGGCGGCCATCTATTTTACGCTTAACGTTTAAAATGTGGCTGTTGTCTACCTTTGGCCCAAATATATGACGAATAGTCTACTGTTCACCTAAATTGACACCGAACGGCAAATGACTATACCAGTGATCTACGTTGCGTCAATAGCAGTCAACACTGAAGTTAATTGTAATGAAATTCCGCCAACTTTGATTGAACACAGTAGCTGCAGCAATGAAAGACTTCTGTGTGATGATGGTATATGTAACAAGTTCAGTTAATTTCCTCAAAAATCTGATATTTTTAACATCAACTGCAGTTGTCGTGTGGCTTTTTATAGAAATAAAGGCGAATATGGGAGACATTTGAGGACAGGCAAAATGTATGTTGAAAATTTGAGCGAAGGTAGATAATCCGGAGTATTTAGGCGAAAAGTACAGTTCAGCAACATTTAAAACACAAAGCAACGTAAATGGTAAGATCCACATTACTTCTCACTGACAGGCGACAAAACAGACATTAGGGCACCTTTCCCCATTATTTCCACTCTAAAGAGTGCATGGAAAATGGTCTAAAGACCATGTGGTTCCATTTGTCAAATATTTAACTATTATAAAATCTCGTAAAAGGAAGGATCGAGACTAGGAAAACAACAGCTCGAAGTACTAACATGAGCCTAGAAAATAGGTAAAGAACTAAAATATTCAGTCTTCGACAAGTTTACACTTAGTCTGGAAGTAGATTGTTTGCTAGTGTAATGTGAGGAGAAGAGAATCGACAGCAATTAAAAATGACACAAACGTGAGGACAGGACAATCTAACAATCGAGACAACAAGTTGACATTCTAACGTTCCGAACGAGTTACGTCACTTTTCAAATATTGTTAATAGTCAGTACCATCCAATGCCCAATATTTCGACCCTCAAAAATTAATAGCTGAAATGAATTGGTGTGCAGTCTTATGATACTGACGGCTATCGTTAGTGATTTCTCTAAATACAAGTTCAGCTCACGTGAAGATTAACCCATGAAATCTTTTTGGTATGTTCCGCTAATCTGATTCAACAACTAGATAGCTTATATTCCTTTGTTTAAATATATCTTCCTCTCACAACATCTAATAATTCTAGTTTCGTCAAGCCTAGGACTGTCTTATGAGATAATTCACGCAGAAGTGTTGTCAAACACTGATCATCTATATTGTTCTATTAACAACCTAACGTTAGCAACATCGTTTGATTGCATCTGCGGTTCAGAGTTACCTTTTGCAGAAAGTGAATGTACCTTAACCGTTGGATGGAATTATTCCCGGTGAACTGGCGTATTTTGAGTCCGATTGAACTTTTCAAAAGGTTCAAATGGTTGTGTGCGGAATAGAGGAAGCTTTCGCTTAACAGGCTCCCGTGTCTAGTAGTAGGGGTTCACCAATACCTCCAGGCAAGAACCTAGGTATACTTACTGCTTACTACTACTACTTAAGCTTGTTACTCCTAGTGAAGAAGCGTAGGCCGCTCACTAGCATTTTCCATCCAACCCTGTTCTGGGCAATCCTTTCTAGCTCCTTCCAGTTGTAATTCATCCTTTCCATATCTGCTTCTATTATCCGACGTAATGTGTTCTTTGGCCTTCCTCTTCCTCCTCCCTTCAGAATTACAAGTTAAGGCTTGCCTCGTGATGCAGTTTGACGATTTGCGTAATGTGTGTCCTATCCATTTCTATTGTCTTTTCCTAATTTCTTCTACAGCTGGAATTTGGTTTGTTCTCTCCCACAGAAGGCTGTTACTGATGGTATCCGGCCAATGGATGTTGAGTATCTTGCGAAGACAGCTATTTATAAATACTTGTACTTTCCTGATGGTGGTTTTTGTAGTTCTTCAAGTTTCAGCTCCGTACAGTAGAACTGCCTTGACGTTCGTATTGAAGACTCTAACTTTGATATTGATTGAAAGTTGTTTTGAGTTCCATATGTTTTTCAGTTGTAGGAATGCGGCCCTTGCTTTGCCAATCCTCAATTTTACGTCTGCATCTGAACCTCCTTGTTCATCGATGATGCTTCCCAGGTATGTGAGGGATTCTACCTCTTCCAGAGTTTCGCCATATAGAGTGATTGGATTGCTGTTCTCCGTTTTGAATTCGAGGACCTTGGTTTTCCCTTTGTGTATGCTGAGGCCTACTGATGCAGAAACTGCTGCTACCCTAGCTGTCTTCATCTGCATCTGTTCGTGTGTAAGCGATAGGAGGACTAGGTCATCTGAGAAGTCCGAATCGTTTAATTGATTCTGAGCTGTCCATTGTATTCCGTGTTTTCCTTCAGATGTCGAGGTCTTCATAATCCAGTTGACCACCAGAAGAAAGAGGAAGGAGGAGAGTAAACTGCCTTGTCTGACTCCAGTCCTTACTTGGAATGCATCTGTCAGCTGTCCTCCATGCACTACTTTGCACTGTAGTCCGTCGTATGAGTTCCGGATAATATTGACAATCTTCTCAGGAACTGCGTAGTGTCGAAGAAATTTCCATAATGTCCTCCTGTCAAATGCCTTTTCGTAATCAATGAAGTTGATGCATAGTGACGAGTTCCACTCAACTGATTGTTCGACGACGATCCATAGTGTTGCACTTTGGTCTGTGCACGACCGATCCTTACGGAATCCAGTTTGTTGATCTCGAAGTTGGGCGTCTACTGCATCTTTCATCCGGTTCAGCAACACTCTGTTGACAACTTTCCCTGGTATTGACAGTAGTGTAAGCCTCTGAAGTTTTCACATTTGGTCAGATCTCCGTTCTTTGGAGTCTTGACGAGGTGTCCTTCTTTCCAGTCCATCGGCACTTGTTCCTCCTCCCAAATCTTTTTGAATAGAAGGTAAAGCATGCTTGTGGTTACTTCGACGTCTGACTTCAGTGCTTCAGCTGGTATGTTGTCGGGTCCTGCTGCTTTCCCGTTCTTGATTTGTCTAATTCCTTCCGTCGTTGGTGGGTTGACATCTATAGGAAGATCTGTGTGTGCTGCTTCGATGTCCGGTGGATTCATTGGAGCTGGCCTGTAGCTCTTCTAGAGTTACAGCCGGTCTCAAGCCCGGGTAAAGGAGATGGGTTGGGCATAGGGTTAGCGTCCCCATCCCGTAGAAAACTAACTCGCTAAAAAACACCTACCAGAAGAACCTAGGTATATTAACGATAAAACAGGAAGAATAGATTGGTTAATCATAGTAAGATACTATCCTTAGTCCTTAAGAATAGATCAAGTTGCCTCTTAAAGGACTCCTGAGAAGTCGCTCGGACTAGCTCGGCCGGAAGCGAATTCCTGTATTTGACAACTCCTAAGGAGTGGAAGTTGCGTCTACAGTCCGCTCTGCTGTGTTTTACCTCCAATTTCTGGGTGTTACTCCTCAGGTTAGAATTGAGACCAAGCTTAAGTAGGTGATTAAGAGGATGTCCAGAAGTGTTAAGGATACTGTAAGCCATCAGGTCACCTCTAAGACGCCCATACTCTAATGAGTGAAGGTCAATTGATTCCCTGAACTGATTTTGTAGCTCACCGTTGGATACGCTCCAGATTGTCCTTATCCTTTTCGAACGAAGGAGGAAATATTATGTTTCCGTACTCTAAATGGAGACGAATAAAACTGCTGAAGATTATGTGGAAAGTTCTTCCGTCAAACTAGCCGAAAAGTGCGCCTCACTGTTACCAGTGAAAGGTTTGCTCGTAAGGCATTTTTGTCACAGTTAGCGTAAGACTTTAAATTGTAGGGCACAAGCTATCAGAAGTGTAACCATCCACTGCAGATTCCGAGTTTCTGGTTAAGTGACCCGTCAGACCTGGCTTAAAAACCAAAAACTAGGTAGATGAATAAGTGAACAGCAAAGACAGTGCTCGACAAGATTTGTAAACCAACAAAGAAATGGACAGATTTAAATGTAAATGATAACAGACTGACTTTGTTGACGAAGAAAATGCATTGTAGCATGGGTAAATGATAGAAACAATGGCATTACACCAAAATTACTGATCCATAAAATTAGGCAGCTTTAAGGCGGAGTACATCATTTAAGGTATAACATGTGAATTAAGGATTCTTTGTCATATAAAATCAAATTATTTGTAGTGACTTACTTTTATCAAGAGAACGCGATTGATTTAATGGAAACAATCATTATGATAACCAATTTTACCAGTGATTGTTTTACTGTACTTATTCCTTTAACCGTACTTAAGACATTCTTCCATTGATTGTGACCTTGCACGAATACGGTTACGCTCAGTAACATTACATATAACCTGGCACGATCTCGGTATTCTTTCGATACCACGAGATCATCAACTATTTTGTCTCGTTACAACCTCCAATCACCTTCTGAAATCTGGTACGCAACCATCTTGTAGTGGTGATCATAATCAACCGCGAATCGACCCACACTACATGTTAATGTTGGAATAACTAACGTAAAGTGTTGACTTGAGTAAATTTATCAGTGAAAATATATTTCTTTTGGATAAAAAGCTCTGCATATTTGAACCGAGTAGGAACTGTCCAGTCGTTTGTAGTATTCTCAATCTGAAAGAACTAGGTAAACTGCTGATAATATGATACATTATTATAGAGGATTACTCCGTGTTAACTATTGGAATTAAACGAGCGGTTGAGACAGTGACACATGTTTCAAGGACATGTGAACTGGTGCGTTGCAAGCTGAAATGTAGACGGTAAGATATTGAATTAGTTGTAGTATATCGCGGTCCGAAATGTGTAGTACATGATTTCCTCCTAAGCAAAATTATGTCCTGGTGTAATAGGGGTAAAAGCTTTATACTAGACGACTTTAATGCACCGTATATAAATTGAGTCAACTTAGAAGTAGGGTAATCGATAATGTCATTCGACTGCAAACTGTTTGAAACCTCGATTGTCTTAGCTTAACTGCAACAAGTTAGAAATCTCACAATATATGGATTCGAAACCCCTCTTCTCTTTTATATTTAGTCTTCACATAAGGTGATGACGTCGGTCAAATGACTTTCCTCCCACCACTAGGGATAAGTGACCATGCAGTCACATCACTCAAATTCATGGCTGAGATTGCCTGTCAAACAAATGTGCTGACCTGTCCTAACATATGGAAGGCAGATATGGAGGCAATGGACTCCATAGCATTGGCTGAAAACCGGAAATTGACTCAAGGGCATCAGCGTAAGAGTCATGGACTCGTTTCAGGCAGTTATGCAGTCGGGCAACTCAACCTTACGTATCCTGGACAGTTCCAAATTAGAAGATGGCTATTCCTGGATATACTGGGATGTTCGACGTTTACGAGGACGAAAGAAATGTTGGAATGTCGCCATCAGCCACGGCACAGAAGGTACGATGGAACGCTACAGATTGATGTGAAACGCATGTATAACTAAAATTCGGGCAGCCCAAAGAAGATATGAAATGCAGTTGGCCGCTCCGTTGAATATGATATTCAATATGTCGCTTGACCAAGGTGTGTTACCTATAAGCTGGAAGGACGCAGTCGTCACTCCCATACATAAAACAGGACCAAAACAACTTCCAAAGAACCACAGAACTGTAAGCGTCATCAGTGTTATAGTTAAAAAATTGGAAAGAATAGTCAAAGGGACCATAATTGCATTTGTGGGAACCAATAGTCTATTAAACAGCGAACAACATACTTTTAGAAAGGGTTCATCTTGTACAACGAACCTCCTTATAGCAAGGAAATTCAAACAAAGGTGCTAGACAACGGAAACTCAGGGATGATGGCTACATAGACTTCAGTATGGCTTTTGACAAGGTGCCAACAAATCGACTATGATTAAAGTTAGAAAATCTTGGTATTGCCACACCTCTCCTGAAATAGCTTAAGGATTCCCTAGTAGATCG